CATATGATTTTATTTAAAATTTATCATTCCCGTGTTTCTAATTTTGAAGTTTTTAAAAGTCACGTCAGTCGCCACCCTTACTCCTCTGTCACCCCTATATTTGATTGCTCGATCTATCACTACTTTTATTTATCCTCTTTATAACTTTGAAAATTAGACCTTGTAGTTTTCAGATTTCATTGTCTCGTTGGGTTTCGTTTTTATAATTTTTAGAAGTCCCGTCAAACGTCGCCAATGTACTCCACTACGGCCCGTCCGCCGCATCCTCTCTTTGTTATCATTGGGATTTAAAAAATAAACATAATTATTGTTTGTGTTCCTTTTTACTAAGTCCCACCAAAACGTTAGCGGCTTCGCCACTGTACTCATCTACGGCCCACCCACAAAGATTTTTAAAATCGAACATGATTATCATTGGGGTTTATTTTTTACTTTCTATAAGTCTCGCCGACTGCCGTAACCATGTTTCTTAATGGCATGCCGTCGTCCCTCCTCTTAATTGTCATTGTGATTCTATTTCGGGTTTTTTTTATAGTTTTTGATGTCCCATCAACCACCACCACTCTATTCCTTTACAGGCTTATTGTTTTCTCTCCTCTTTATTGTATTTGTCATCGCAGTGTTCTAAATGGCCTTTTTTTTTGAAAATTCCATATTTTTCATTCCGATATTTTTTATTTATAAATTGATTCCTACTTGAATTCTTATAATTATTTTTATATTTTAGAATTTATTTTATTTCTTATTCCGTTTTTTAATTAATCTCTCTAGATGGTGTCTTCTTTCAATACTTTTTATTTTTTTTATTACGAATTTTAGTTATTTATATAATGTATTCCACTCTCATTTTATTTTTGTATTTTTCATGTTTTTATTTTAAATTTCAATTACTCTCGTGTTGGGTTCTTATTTGGACTCTTCTTTTAATATTGCTTATATTTAATTCCAAATTTTAGTTATTTTTACTACTTGAACTCTTCTTTTGTTTTTTTAAATTTCTGATTTTATTTTATTTTTATTTGAAATTTTAATTAATCTCATATTGGATTCTTATATAGACTCTCCTTTCAATATTGCTTATTTCTAATTCCGAATTTTAGTTACTTTTAAATTGTATTTTTACTTGAACAATTATTTTTTTGGTTTAATGTGGAAATTTCTATCGCTTATAGCAGAAGTAGAGTACAAAGAGTTATCCGAGGTAATTGAACAAATGGACCAGCCATCAAATATATCTATTTCTCTCGTCTATGTCATACCTTCTCTTTCTCTGGCTCCTATTTCTTTGTTATTTTGTTGGAGACGGCAGATGAGAAACTTGATTGCTTTGTAGTATCTCTTTTTTTTTAGCTAGCCACCATAGCAATCGGATACAAAATCATACACGGACATAGTTTTTTTCCCTAGATTCCTATTGCAATTTTGTTTCCTAGTGCTAGTTTGGTAAGAAAAGTCTAGCTAGCTGCATGCTGGCCAATTTCTATAACACACGTATCCGTATCTGATTCTAAAGGCCATATTAAAACTTCTACGTATATTTCTATTAAATCTTAGCCCTTAAAATTTAGACAACTACGATCTAACGGTGTAAAGTTTTCTCTTTTTCTCTAATTAATATGAAAATTTCTAGCCTCACAGCGAACGTGATGCCTCCTTTCAAAGCTGTTTTAATAATATAATAGATAGATGATATAAATCTATAGATAAACATAAAAGACTCAATTTCATGTACAACTAGAGAAACAAAACTAATAAAATCAGGCAATGAATTGTACATGTAAAGCGTAGATAAAATTTGCTATTTTTGTTTCTTCATGTGTAAATGACTTGCATTGTATAGTGTCTTATATTAACGTAATTTATCTTGTCAAAATTTATGAATTTTCCATATAACTATTTAAACCATATGCATATACCAGGTGCTATGGCACCTGGGGTGTACAAAATACCTTTCCACTCCGAACCACTTTGGGATATCTGTCGGCCATTTGGTCTGCCCTGTTCGGCTCAGATGAGCCGAAATTTATGACACCCGTGCTTCTTTGCTTGGGCTCTGTGGCACCCCAAACTATGCCAATCAAGAATACAAACCGGCATAGGCTGAAGGTCACAACATTAACTGTGTTTACAGTACCAGTCCCAGAATATACAAGCTGGTACTCATAGAATAATAGTGAAATTTAGAAATAACAAAGCTTTATTACAAGGAGGTCTCAAACTACTACCGTCGTGGACAAACCCCAGACTGGTAGGAACACTGGAAAGATAAGGTACACATAGGTGGAAGCATAAAAGCAGTGGAGGGAAACATGGAAAGGAAAGCACTAGAAACAGGATGACAACCGTAAATCCACAGGCTATGTTTGGGAACTAGGCTTGAAACCCCGAGAAATCGTACTCGACTTGCTCCTGAAAGTAGGCCTCGACAGAAGGGTCAAGGTATACTTCCTCTAACTCTATAAATATAAATATAAGTAAGGGTGAGTACTCAGTGTACTCAGCAAGCCATGAAAAAAATATGACATGCAAGGCTAAAAACAAGGAGTGGTAGGGTTTCATTTGAAAAACCCAAGACCTTTAAATAATTTAGCTGCAAAACTCTAATGTATCAAGTTTTAGTTCTGGGATAAGGCTCACGCCTCGCCCTATTCCACAGGTTGCTTTGCAACAACCTGTCACTGGAGTAATGACACGTGGGCCCCACTATTTTTAATTATTTTTTCATTGTAACTGACATGTGGGCCCACGATTATTATTTTTTAAGATTAGATTGCCATGTAAGCGACATGTCAATACCACGTGGGATAAAGACCGAGTCAAACTAGCCACATAGGCGCTACGTCAGCTAAAACCGACGTGCAAACCGCCATGGGACTTATATTGCACTGTGCAAACCAAAGTTCAAAGCATGTTAAAAAAGTTTAGTTTTAGTTTAGGATAAAGAAAAATAATATTTTTGATAGAAAACTACCTGTACATAGACATTCATAATAAAATTTCACACAAATTAAGTAAGGTGCCTACGCATATGTGCGGGCTACCAAATCGGATGTGAAGTCAGAGAAGCACAGTACCGACTTCACATGGGTCTCAGCCGTCCGATGAATAATCGACGATCAAGATCAATCGCTACAGTGTAGCACAGTAATAGTGAACAGTACATCAAACCAGCGATTTTTTACTGTTTTCCACTGTTTAAATAGAGGTGGTGTTTCACACTGTAGCGCTAGACTCATTTTACTGTGCGCCTCTACTGTTCGCGTGCGAAGTCAGAGGAGTCGAATACGCGGGCTACCATCATAGTTTTGTGAAAAAATCAAATTATTTTGGACCATATTGGTACCCCCAATAAAAAATATTGAACCCTAGGATGGGCTAGCCAGCGGCTGGCCAGATTTGGCCAGCCAGTGGTGTATTTTGGCTAGTTGGATGGCTTAGGGTGTGTTTGGGTGTATTTTGGCTAGTTGGATGGCTTAGGGTGTGTTTGGATGGGAGGATTTGGGTGGATAGGACATGGCAGCCCGTTTTTTTAGGTGTTTGGTTGGTGGGCGGAGACGGGATATGGCGGCCCGGAGGAGAATATTCTCCTCACATGCCGGATGGCTGGCTCTAGCCAAATCACCCGGATGCAGCCGCCCGAGCGACCGGACGAGTGGGGCGAGCGGTCGCGTCACCTCCATGGAGAGAGAGGGGGCGACGACGATGACGATGCGAGCCGGCTGATGACGACAATGCCGATGAGTGCCTAGTGATGGCGACGATGATGCGCTGCGGCCGGTGTGGGTGGCGAGCGCCCCGTCGGCGGGAGGAGGGAGTGGCGGTGAGCTCGGAGATCCGGCGCGGGAGATGAGCACCGCGGCGACGACGATGACGATGTGAGCCCGGCCGGTGAACGGTGACGATGCGAACCCGGTGACAACAACGACGATGCGGGCGGCGAGTGCCACATCGGCGGGAGGAAGCGAGCAACAGCAGCTAGTGGGAGGAGGAGTAGGCGGCGGCGCTGAGCCCCTAGATCCACCCTGCTTTTTTCTTTTCTTTTTTTCCTTTTTTCTTTTTCTTTTTTCTTTTTTCTATGTGTATTTATAATGGAGGTAGTGGTGTAAAATTGTTGGAGAATTTATGATTTGTGTTATGTATTAATTTGATGGGGGTATATTCACCGTCTCAAGTGAGAGGTGACTACACCTGCAAATCCACCCTACTTCCTCCAACCAAACAAAAAATTGCATCACCAGATCTACCTTCATCCCTATAACCAAATAAAAAAAACTGGATCGTCATATTCACTTAAAAAAAAAAAGATCGCCATATCCAATAAAATATGAACTGTGATATCCCATCCAACCTTCCATGAACCAAACGCATACTTATAGAGCCAGTTGGAGAGTATTTTTTCTCACATTTGCTCAATTTTGGCTTGGAGTGGTTTGGCAATTCTGACGAAGATGCTCTCACGAAACTGCAGGGAAGCAGCTAGCCAAACTAATCACCGCGTCGTGAAAGCTCACCCGCGGAGTGGACAGAGGAATATTCCGTTACAGTATAGTACCACGCTCTCCTTGAACATGAATCATATCCGTTCAATTGTGATCCAAGAACACGGGTTTAGACCTAGGGTATAAAGTTTTGACGTATCACATCAGATATTATATAGGATGTCGCATAGGGTGTTGGGGCACTAATAAAAAATTAATTACAGTACCCATCAGTAAATCGCGAGACGAATTTATTAAGACTAATTAATCTGTCATTAGCACATGTTTACTGTAGCACCACATTATCAAATCATGGAGCAATTAGACTTAAAAGATTCGTCTCGCAAAGTAGTCGCAATCTGTGTAATTAGTTATTTTTTTAGTCTATATTTAATACTTTATGTAGGTGTTCAAATGTTCAATGTGATAGGGTATAAAATTCTGGGATGGAATCTAGACAGGCCCATAGTTTCAAAGCATTGTCCTCACGTGAATATGATATAAGATAGTACGGCTCACCGTTCGCATCGTAGCACTAGATCCGTTTGGCCAGCCGTCAATGGCCTCCACGATAAGTAGAGTGGCCACACTTCCTCTTCTTGCAAGAGCAGTACCGCAACGTTAGAGAAAGCAAAGCAAGCAGCCCCGGGTGATCAACAACCTCAAAGATGGAGCCGGTGGGCAGCATCGTGGGCGCGGTGCCGAAGGTGGCTTCGGCGATCGCCAAGGCAGTGAAGACGGCTCGCCGGAACAAGACCAGGTGCCGGGAGCTAGCCCAGCGCGTGAAGGAAGTCGACGACATCCTGAGGGAGTACAAGAAGGTGGCCATGGGAGACGCGGCGGCGACGACGCGGAAGATTCTGGGCCGTCTCAAGGACGCCCTCGACGACGCGCTCAAGCTCGTCGAGTCCTGCGGCAGGAGCAGGGACGGTCTGCTCTTCAGGCTCCACAGGTTCGTGGCCAGCGACGGGCTCGCCGCCAAGCTCGATGACGTCAACAGTAGGATCAACAACTGCCTCATCGCCCTCCAGGCCGTCAACGTTGCCCACCTACAGAAGAAGATGGACCGCCACCTCGCCGTCGCCGCTGGTGGGGGCGATCACCGCCGCACAAACAATCCAGTAAGATACATGGCTCATCAAAATTACTCCTTGTTTTTTTTTTTTTCCTCTTTAGCCGATTGAGCTGACCAATCTTCGGAGCAGAGGGAGATCAACGCCGGCAAGAGCGGCAACAAAGGTAACAAGGGCGGGCAGCAGCACAAGCAGAACGGAGGGAAGGGCGGCAAACGGAGGAAAGGCAAGAAGGCGGCCGGGCCACCGCCGCAGCCGCAGCCATGCACCCCCACCGGCGCCGTCTTCCCTTACTACCTTGTCCACTCCATGGAGGAGGATCCCACCTCCTGCTCCGTGATGTGATCCACGCGCGCGTGCACGGAGGAAGCCATGCAAGCATCTAAGCTCCGGCAGCTGCGCAGGCGCAGCTCGTGCTTGATCCATCACCACCAGTGATGACGACGACGGCGCCGCCGCCGCGGCGACACCCAAAGAATCGCCACGGCGGCGAGCACCGATCGAGATCAAGTACCAAGGGTACTGCATGATTCCCCGAACAGGTCAAGCTTTCATTTTATCGCATATTTGGGTATCCGGAAATCCATGGACTACGTGATGATACACATAACACATGGATTTCCACATCATGCATTCGGGTTGCAACGGAATTGGGTTGGATATCATCTGAACTGCATTTAATTTCATGATCGGATTCAATTCAAATTGGATATATATCCGCCCATTCCTAGCTTCATCTTAATAATAAGCAGTTTCAGTGTGATCGAGTCTGTGTGTACTGTAATGCTGTGTTCTGCATGTCTGTGTAGTCGAGTTGAGTCCATCATGTTTGCTTCATTCTGTAATTCTGCATGATCTTCAGACGCTCTGCATGAGCGAGTAGTAATAATAATAAAGTTTGAATGAAGTTTATATGCTCCCGATCGATATTATCAGACGAATTATATTTCTGTTTACTTGATGTTTTTGGATCATGTTTAATTTGTGTTTTAACTCTGAGGCCGAGTTTAGTTACAATTTTTTTTTTCAAACTTCCAACTTTTCCATCACATCAAAACTTTCCTACACACACAAACTTTCAACTTTTCTGTTACATCGTTACAATTTTAACCAAACTTTCAATTTTGACGTAAACTAAACACACCCTGAGGATGATGTTGAGTTGGAGACTTGTGGTCAATGAATTTGACAAGCAGCAAAAAATTCCAACCTCCTGAACAAGACAAGAACGCGGCGGACGCACCTAATTAGTCGTCGCCCACGGTCCCACGCCCATCATATACGGCACTACTGAATTTGGCATCACTGCATTGACTTGATGGTTTGCATCTGAAACTCTGAAAGCATGGCCTATTCCTTTTTTTCTTTAACCCGAACAAACTGGAGAGCTAAATTGTTCCTGCATATCTCAGAGACTTCAACCGCTGGCATCCCATTAGCCCAAGACGGGGAAAAAAATAGATCTTTCGTGTTGCTCACTTTTTCTTAAATACAGATGTTTCTCCAAATACTAATTACTCAAACTAAATTATCCGTGTAAATGGGTGATGATTGCTTCGTTAAAACAGCATCACACTTAGGGCGCGTTCTAACTGGATAATATGTAGAAAAGTTTTGGAAGAAATCATATTTTTAGAAGCGTGCCACAAATAATCTATAACTCTATTAGTTGTTTAGAACGTACCATAATTTGGAAGCTTCGATCACACCAATCCTCGTTCGCGTATGTCCAGGAGAGTCTCCCCTCCTCACATATCATCTCACAAAACAAGCCCTCAGGATCGCAACTATCAGTTACGATCCTACTCAGGCCTCACATGACCGTGTGATCGAGTTTGTGCGGTTATGTAGCAGCTAAGGGATGTTTTGCGTACTAGTCCCTCCATTTCACAATAAGACGTTTTGATTTTGTTATAAGTTAAACTTCTTTAAGTTTAACCATATTTATAGAAAAAATATAACAACAATTACAAAATAAAACAAGTATATTATAAAAATTATATTAAATGGTAGATTTAATGACACAAATTTGGTGTTACAGATGTTGTTATATTTTGTTAAAAGTTTGATCAAACTTAAAAATTATCTTATAATAAACGAATGGAGAGAGTAGACCATACAATTATCTTTATTACAGTCAGATGCCCTGGTTGACCTTAATTGAGATGATCTATGCCGTTGAGCGGTTAAGCGCTGTGTGCCTACGCCACCAAAATCATAGCAGCTTATGTATAAGCATGGTATACAGGGGCAGATCTAGCATGGGGCCGGCGGGGTCTGGAGCCCTCATTTCTGACGTGAAGACTATGAGAATCCACACGAAGATCCCACTGAAATTTTTTACCATATGTATATGGGAGGGGGACTATAACTCTATCTAATTTGTTTAGATCCCACTGCTATTTCTTTCTAAATCCGCCACTGATGGTATAGGTATAGACAAGCACATGATTAACTATACGGTGGTCTAAGTATACGGTGGTCTAAGAAATTTAGCAATTAAGACCTTAATCATTGCTAGTTTAATTAGGTATAAAAGCTCTGATATGTATTGCTGCTATCATCCAAATTGACAAGAGAAACGGTTAAGATTAAGTCGTAGAATAATCTTCCTCCCTCCTGTCTGTCTACTGTCTAGTTCAGCAATCGTCCCTGTCTGTCCCTCTCAACAATTTGCAAATTTTCTCACGGAACCGTGGGAAGCAAGCAACCAAACTAGCTAAGCACCGCGTCGCCGAAGCCCATTGACCCACTGACTTCAAGTCCTCCTATAGTGAGCTCGTCTCATCGTCTGCTGAGTAAGCCTGAAGGAATATTCCGTTACAGTCTGATGCAGGATGGAGAGGGAGGGCCAGCCTCCGTAAGGTTTCCCAGCCTCCGGAGGTTGCCGCCCCTTCCACGCGAGGATTATGATGATTGGACGTGAGCATTAATACCCCTCACCAACTCTCGAGATTCCTCTCTCGGGCGTATGCGCCCCCCGGAGCGTAATTTCCGGCCCACACCTATACTAACTAATCCGTTAAGATAATGATGATAATTAAAATAAGATTTTTTTTCTAAAGATTTTTTTCAGTAATAGATACAAAAGAAATTTATACGTGAAGTCAAATTCTGAAAACTTTCAATCCAGATTTGAAAACTTTTAACTCGAAATTTGAATTTTTTGAAGTCAAAATTTGAAAACTTTCGACCTAGATTTGAAAACTTTTAACTCGGTATTTGAAAATTTTCAATTCGAGATTTGAAAACTTTCAACTCGAGATTTAAAACTTTTTTTAGATTTAAAAACTTTCAACTCAGATTTAAAAACTTTCAACTGGAGATTTGAAAATTTTTAAGTTAAGATTTGAAAATTTTCAAGTCAAGATTTAAAATTTTCAACTCAAAACATTTGAAAACACGTGTGTTGAAGATTAAAAAAAAGGAAAGTGAAAAAAATCACGAAAAAAAAGAAAAAAATCGCGCGAGGGAGGAGGGTGCGCCAGCTGGCGAGCGTGAAAAAAAAATAGCAAAAAAAATAAAAAATCACGCAAGGGAGGAGGGCACGCCAGCAATGTTGCTAGCATGCGTGCGCTAATTAGCCACCCCCCACCTACCCTAGCCCAGTGGCGGAGCTAGGTATAATCTGTGGGGTCAGGTTTTTGCAAAATAGTCTAAAAACTACTGATATTTACATTGCAACAATATAAAACTTAAAGAATTTTATAGATTTGACCCCACAGGTTTTCGTCGCTGGCTCCGCCACTGCCCTAGCCACCTGCTCTGGGTCGGGTAGTGGAGGGGCTGCAGTCAAGGCCATGGATCACGGGAGCATGTACACGATGGCGATCCCGGGATCTACGAGATTGGGCTGGCTCAAGCTTTAATGGATCACCTATCCCGGTTGCCTAGGATTTTACTGATTAATCCCGAAGGTGGGGGTCACTTGTCGGCCACCCGGGTTGCCCCGAAACACTGGCCCACATAAATATGTAGCCTGCCCCTCAGAGAGGGGGCAGAAGAAAGAATATAATACCGGTATTAGATACACACTTTGTCTCGTTCGATAACTGTTGGATTTTGTTCTAACATTGGCGCCGTTCGTGGGGTATCGAACGCAAACTCTCAAGCCCTCCACACTAACAAGATGCCACCAAAGAGGAAGGCTGTGACAAGTGGAGCTGCGGTGCGCCGGTCCATGAGGGTCGTGCGTCGCATCGCCTGTGTCAGTCCCCGATTTCGGAAACCAAAACCTATTATGTTTCCCTGTATCAATCCCTGGATCAGTGTTGACGGTCCTTAAATACCAAATCTAACAGTCAATTCCCACATAAAAGCAAATGAAGTAAAACATCAAACTTAATAGTAGTGGTTACTCCCTCCGGGTTAATAATACTTGTCGTTTTGGACAAGGGCACGGTCTCCCAAAAGTAACTTTGATGACTATTTTCTATTATAATATATATAGAAATATCAAAAAATATATGATTTTATTGAAGTACTTTTTAAGACTAATCTACACATATGGTTTTCATATTTTTAAGATAAATATTTTAAAAATTATTTGTAGTTAAAAATTTTAAAGTTTGACTTTACCATTATCCAAAACGACAAGTATTATCAACCCGGAGGGAGTATTACTAATCATTCTCACAAGTTTGATAAATATTTGTATGCAGGTGATTTTGGACGAAAACCACACGTCATGCGAAGAAATATACCTCCGGCCAATCAGACGCGAGTATACGGATTGGAGGGACCACAAATTAGAGCAAAACCAACATAATTGAGCCTATCCACCGTGCACCGTCATAAGGGCCCACCTGATAGTCTCCCAGGGAAGGTCGGTGAACAAAAGCAGTTTCCCTGGTTCGGCCGAACCAGGGGTTGCACCCCTCGCCACCGCCTTCCACGTGGCACTACATGATTGGCTCCCAATGGCGATTAGGGGTGTTAATCGACTTAACTACCATCATAGGATGCCTATAAAAGGAGCTCTCACTTTACTCTCAAGAGACACACAACAAAGTGGACTACAACTTACTTTCATATTTAGGTTACTCTCTAGTAGAGTTAGAATATAGGAAGAGAATGAGGAGAAGCTCCGGAAGGAGTACCTCAGATGTCGGCATTCTCTCCGAGGATGTTCCGGAGAAGTGCCGGAGATGTTGGCTTTCTTTTTAGGGGAGTCTGGAGGAGTGCCGGGGTTGTCAACACTCTCTCCACTATCGTACCTCGGCTAATGCTTTTATATAAGTAAGTATTCATAATTTCTTTCGCGTATTTAGTTTTCTTATTTAAGTAAGATATATTCTCATCATTGCGGGCTCGTCGCTTGATACTTGTATTGGGTGCTCTAGTACTAAGACTCTGGATAAAGAAGAAAGTTTCTGCGCAAGGCTAAAGTAGTACTCCTCAATAACATATACGTGGTGTCTAGGTTAGAGGTTACCTTCGATTGTTGTGTGCTTGTAGAGGTATGTGATAGGTAGTGACAGCCATGTCCATCCTTTGTAATCCTCTATGTTTGGGTATATCATGGAGCTATAGGCCGGAGTCTCTTGGCAGACCAGGGGTGAACCGGTGCCCGAATCAACTGATAGTGTTTTACCTTAACTTAATTAAGAACTTTAAAACCCATAGAAATCATCCCTATCCTAAGCCTTCCATTAGTTGTTGTTCTTGGTTGAATCTTGTTTCTTACATTTTACACACATGTTCCATGTGATTCGATACCTTTGAAATACTTTGAGGTGAAGTGCTACAGCGGTATCCGTGCGCTTACGGATTTATCTGTGATAGTATCAAATACCAATAAGTATTTATGACGCCGTTCTCGGGGAACGGTTGCTATGTATTATCTTCGAATTTGGTTCATCCTCGTATTTTTTTATCTTCTTCATTTCTATTCTTCTCTACCATGGAGTAGCTATCTATT